GAATATATAAAATTCAAATAAAAAAAAATTTATTGAATTTTGTCAGGTGGTTGTCGAGATATCTTCACCCAAAGTTGTAGAGAAATTAAACCATCTTAAAATATAAGCTATGCCAAATTCTTTGAAAAATGTACCCAACCCTTGTCACGTGCCCATACGAACATGAATGTCTGCGAAATTATGACTATGTAATCTTACAAACATGAATGTCCGCGAAATTATAAAAAAAAAAAACCTATTTAAAAATTTTGAGCGAAGATATATCGATAATTACCTGATCAAATTTAATGAATTTTTTTTTATTTGAATTCTATGGAATATGTAGACTTCAAATAAAAAAAAATTTATTGAATTTTGTCAGGTGGTTGTTGGGATATCTTCGTCAAATAAAAATCTAAAAATGCAAGCTGCGCCAGAATTTCTATAAATAATAGATAATCTCAAATTTAAAATTTTTTTGATGTTAACCCTTTATTGTCAATTAATAATATTCAGAATATAAGGTAAGGGGGGTATTATAACACAGGACCAATTATGACGCACTCTCAATATCCCGTGTACCACCAGCTCAAATTAAACGATTTTGGTACTATTCGATTCGTCTCGACGAGACGAGCCGAATGGTACCAAATTCTGATCATCAGATCATGAGATGCCACGGTTTCAATCAAAACATAGCCAAGTATTTCTTTGAATCTTCGTGAAGCACAAGAGTAATACATATAAAAAATAATATATATACGATATAAATAATAAAAAGTTGATCATAAAGCGCCTGTCATGTTTTTAAGGTTTATTGCTGTATTACTTAGATTTAAATAAATTATATTTTTTTAAAAACTTTAATTAATTATGTAATAAGAACAGGATGTTAATTTCTAAAAATTTATTTAAATTCATGTAATTCTTCGTATCAAATAAAATACATTCAAACAAAATAAATAAAATGCATGTATGCAATTCTTTATTGTTTTTAAGTGTAAATTAAATTATCTGTACCGAATTCGGATATGTGGGCTTGGTGCTGCAAAAAGGAACGAAATTGACAAAAAAAAAGATCTTTGGAAAATCAATTTTTATGTTATAAACTTTATTATAAATCATAAGAAAATGCAACTTTAAAGAGCTATACTATAAAATTTTATTAATACAACTATCTTTGTGTCTTAAGTAAAAAATAATTCTAAACTTATTTTAAATTGATTTATGTAAAAAAATATCATTTGAAAAAATTGTCAATTTCGTTCCTTTTTATAGTACCTAGCCTATGTAATATAAAAATCACATTCCTTAATCGAAGTATATTTACTTACCATCAAACTACAAATCAAACTTAAATCCTAACCCAAAAACATTAAATTTGGCTAAATAGAAGACCTTTAAGATATAAATTGGGTTAATATAGGCGTTCAAAACATTTCGGAATGCCGATAGCTCAATTGGTAAATCGATAAAGCTATAAGGCAAGCTTTATTGATTTACAATTGAGCTATCGGCATTCCGATATGTATTGAATGCCTATATTAACCCGATTTGTATCCTAAAGGTCTCCTATTTCCACCAAATATCTGTTTCAAATCAGGTTCTTGTTGGTAGAGATAGCGTTATTTCCGAATTAAGCTTAATACGAGCCGAATTTCGAAATAACACCCATGCCTGCTATTTTGAAAATTTTAATAGAACAAGAAAATTGATTTTCAATAAAATTTCTGCATGGTTTTTTATTAGACACAAAAAATTAAGAAACTCATGGATTTATGATCCTATCCCGTGCGTGACGCGCGAGATTTTTGGAAAAACTGTGCCCATCTCTACTTGTCAGAATTACATAATGCCAGTTGGGACCTGATTTGCCTTCATTCAACCTGTGTGTATTATCCCAAAATAACGCCTAGGGCGTTATTTTGAAACAATATCATATAGATTAATCAAAAGGTTCGCCATTTGTATTTTGTTGTGAAAACGCGTTATGTGCCAGTAATAAAATTTAATTATTAATATAACGCATTTATAAGTAATGTTAAAAGTAACAATACATTATAAATAGACATACCTACCTAACCCGTACTTAAATAAATCAAATCAATCTGAATAAATCAAATAAATCAAAATCAAATATATCAAATTGCCTTAAGTCATCTTAAATTAAATCAGTATGTCTCCACAAAGTGGTCGGTCTATGCAACGTGAAGCTATTAAAAGCGCCCTTAAGGAACTTGAAAATTCTCTAAATATTTTCCAAAGAAAAGTCGCAGCAAAATTTGGTGTTCACGAAGCAACCCTAAGACGTGCTATTAAGAATAACGGTCCTTTAAATCGCCCGGGTCCTGCTAATATTTTAACTGATTATGAAGAACAACAATTAGTTGGTTATTGCTTAAATATGCAAAGACTTGGCTTTGGACTAACTAGAACGGGTGTAAATCATTGCATAATAGAGATCGTCAAAAAAAGTAAAAGGCCACATCCTTTTAATGAGAACAGACCGGGCAAGTCGTGGTGGGAGCATTTCATGAGGGACCATCCTGGGCTTTTATTTCGTGTTCCTCAGGCTTTGAATGAGGCGAGAGCACAAAGAGCAAACCCTATTATAGTAAATGACCATTTTAAAAAGCTTAAGGAAATTATTGAAAAATATTCTCTTACTGCTGATCGAATCTGGAACATGGACGAAACAGGTTTTGTTCTTAATCCTGAACTTTGTAAAGTTATTGCAAAAAAGGGGTGCACAACAGGTAAAGTAAATTTGGTTATTAGTATTTAATAATAATAAAGCATAAATATTTTAAATAATATTAAAATTTGTCAAACATGTTTTTTACCACCCTAATAATAGGTCCATCAAGTTTCTCATGGAAATTCTAATGAGCATATTTCCGTGTGTCTTACTATCTCTGCTGCTGGAACATATATCCCCCTGCTCATTATTTACAAAGGAAAGCGTATGATTCCAGGCCTCTTAGATGGCGCCCCCTCTAGTTCTGTTATGGGATTTATAGAAACCGGATATATGCGAGAATCCCTTTTTCAAAAATATATTGAGCATTTTATCCACTCAATCCTGCCTGCTTGTCCTGTTCTTTTAATTCTTGATGGACATAAGAGTCATGTTAGCTACATCAATGTTAACATTTGTCATAACAACAATATCCTTCTATACACGCTCCCACCCCACACCACCCATATACTTCAACCTGCTGAACTTCCCTTTGCACAGCTTAAAGATGCATACACTAAAGGCTGTGAACAACTTCGTGTTAGTAATAACAGAGAGTTTATAACTAAGTACACATTTGCCAAGGTTTTAGGTCCGGCATATATTAAAACTTACACACCTTCGGCAATTTGTAATGCCTTTAAAGCAACTGGGATATGGCCCTTTTATCCCAGTTCAATTAGCCCTGACCGTCTTGATCCTTCATTAGTTACTGAAATTCCTTCAACACAATCACCTTACATAACTATGGCATCATCCCCACAGTCTTCTTCTCCTACGACATCATCCTCAAAGTCGTCTTCTCCCACAGCATCATTACAGTCTTCTACATCATTCCCACAATCTTCTCTCACATCTTTTTCTCCAATGCCAAGCTCAAATCGTGTACGTCCCCATACCACCTTAAGATCCGAAGTCGAAGATCTCAACGCAAGAGTCAAAGAATTGGAGGCTGAGTTGAAAATGGTTAAAGAAGAATTGGAAACCTTCAAAAATCCTGGCACAACATCTTTATGAACGATCCTTAAGTACCCTTTGCCTCATTCGAAACCAGTCGAAAAAGAATCAGAGATCAGTGCCGAAAATCAACTTGAGTCACAGGTACTAAAAGAAAAAAGCGAAAGACTATGCCCTTTTCTCAACTCTTATCAGTGAAACGTCGTTAAAGTTGTTAAAAGATGCAGAGGAAGATGCTGAAAAAAAGGCTAATAAGATAAAATGTAAGAAAGAAATTGCGGCTCAGAAACGAATAGAACGGGAGGCTAAAAAGGAACAAGCAAAAAAAGAAAAACAACAATTAATCGAAGAAAAAAAAAAAAAGTCATTTAGATAATTAAATTTTACTTATCTAATCTGTGTGTCATTTTTGGTCCACTGCCCGAAGATCACAAGTTTTATTAAAAAATTTTTACTTATTATAGAATATTTTTTTTTTATATAAAATTTTTAAAAAAAAATAAAAAAAATAAAAATTTAAAACCTTTAGAATAAATATTTATTAAAATTTTATGATTTGTAAGTTAATTTTATAAAGTTATCTTATAGAAGAAGTTAACTGCGTCA